GGGGCGCACACTCTTAAATATACGGGCGCGATGGGCGCAGACCAAACTTAAAAAGGGCGCAACTGGCGCAGCCGATTTGCGCACCCCCCATCCTTCGGACCTCGCTACGGGCCTGCGAAGAGGCGATGCTGCATCAGACCATCACTGAAGTCACAAAAGGTCACCCGGTAGTTGCGAAGGGGCAAATAACCGAAACCGAAAAAGAGATCAGTGATGTGAAAACGAAGAAGAAGAGGGAGTTCTATGATATCCGAACTGATGTGCCACATAGGATCGATCACCTGAGTTCGATATTGAAAGGAAATAGCACTTTAGCGAACGGGCAAGTGTCTTCTAACATGGATCCGGGACCAGTCTCGTTGATCCCAGTTAAATGCATGATCCGAACTCTTAAAGTCCAAAACGGGAGACTACCGAAAAGGATCGAGGCATATACACACGAAGTTAAGGTTGGAGACACAAAGGTCATGGCCATGCTGGACACAGGTGCTGAAACGTCGCTGATTAGCCGATGTTTCTGTGAGAAAAATGGTCTCCATATCTTACCGCTGCCACCAGATAAGCTGGTGAAGATAAATGGAATTAGCGGCACATCGGGCTTCGTAGTGACACACTACTGTGTGGCACCGGTAACTTTAAGGAAGCGAACCAGTCAACACTCCTTCTACGTGCGTCCAAAAACCGATGACGTACAGGTCTTATTGGGATACGACTTCTTAGCCAAGAAGTTCGTATTGATCGATAATTACGGAGAGGAGGAAGTTGAAGACGAACCGAAATCGACCGTTAAAGTTCAAGCCGGAAAGGTCACCGGACTTGCAAAAGGTGATGTAAAAACCAAGTCGGATCAAACGGTTAGCCCAGTACCTGAGGCACTGGGAACAAAAGCGGTGAACCAACGAAGGGGGGGTTCATCCGCTCAACCGTCGTTATTGGAGCTAATGACAGCTATTCAAAAAGAAATAGCGATCCGACTGGATAAACCAACTAAACCGACGCAAAGGGCAAACGTCGTTATCCCAGTACCAGAGGCACAATAAACGACGAAAGACATAACTTCCTTAACGCTGGAACAGATAGCAGCGATACAAAAAGAAGCAGCCGTAGAAGCGAAACGAGCTCTCGTGCTTGGAATGGAGTTGGCAAAGTCTATCCCAGTACCAGAGGCACTGGGAATAAAAACGACCAAAGTTTGGGATAATAAAAAATTTGAAAGGTCACGAGAATCTCCGAAAAGGATAATGGAAGATGAGCAGCTATTTATAAGCGAGATTCGTGATGCAGCGATTAAACAGCTGAAAGGTCATCAAGTCCAAAAAGAACTGGAGGTCATCGAGATCTCATCCGACTATGGTGAAAATTCTAGATATGGTAAAGCAGAGCCAAAACAGAGATATGGTAAAGCAGAGCCAAACGTTACGGAAGACGAGAATATTAACCTGTTTGCATGTCTCGACAAGATGACACTGGAAGAACGAATTAGCAGTTGCATCACGGATACAATGAGGATCCGTGTAGAGTGCAGCCTCAATGGAAATGCGAGGAATGCCGTCGAGAAGCTTATCAAGAGGATTTTTCAGAATGGCCGAAATGCAACGCAGCCACTGAAGACATGAAAGGTCATGTCCAAAAGGAAACGAAAAGTATCAGCAGGACTACTTCGATGTGGAACCAGCATGTCGAGCGTTACCATCGGCAACGCTACAAAGAGTGGTTATCCTGCGTCCGGAACTACATCGTTACAAGGGGGCGATGGTTCCATTACTGGGAAAAATGTACTGACCAGCCGGAATCATCCGATCCAAAGGTCAACCAGGTTCGGGCACGATACAGAAGAGAGTTCTTCGAAGTGCTCGACGAAGGGGACTTGTGGGAAAATGCGAGGACGGATCTGTTCATGGACTTCCGTGTCAATCATTTGTACAAGGGAGAAGGAACAACGATCATATTCCCAACTGGACTAGGCACACCAGCGTACCAGCTGTTCGAAAAGTTTTACATGGCATTGGAAGTAGGAGACCTGGAACTCTTCAACACATATTGGAAAGAGTTGGAATCCGAATTTCCCCCTCTGCCAGATAAAGATATACTTGAATTAAAGGTGTATCGTAAACGAAGAGAAGTTGGACCAGCTGGGTACCCAGTGAAAAAGAGAGTGACCTTTGCACCAGTCCCTAAGGGAGCCCAGTATCCCTAGCGAGGCGATGAAAAGTGGTGCATGTATGAAATGACACCCAACAACGAACTTTTAGCCGAAGATTTAAAAGCAAATTGTGTTTTCATCGGGACTAAGAGACCGATTGGCTATGAGGAGGTTGTTGAGCCAGAAGAAGAAAGATCACCGAGAGCTTGGGAAATAGCACAAATGTTAACGAACCGAGGCGAAATGTGGGCAAAATTCAAAGAGGAACTCGAAAAGATCTCAGCAGGGCAAAATTACCCAGTAACTGAGGCAAAAAACGACGACCAAAAGTCACTCGACAACGGTGAGGAAGGGCCACCGATCGAGAGAGGGCGATTAATGAGCCTCGAGGAAATTGATAAACTGGAAGGAACTGCTCCAGATAACGAAAGGTCGAACTCCGATGAGCAAAGGTCATCAACAAGAGTACGCGTAGCACGCAGCCACCCGAGGATCGCAGCGAAATACGGAAGAAAGACAAAGGAAACGGGCAAACCTCTGCTCAAAAATCTTAAAGCGAAAAAACTTAGCGGTTCGCAGGGTGACGAAGGTGACCTTTCATCCGAAGAAGAAATCGATGAACGCCCACTTGAAAGAAACTCAGTTAGTCACGCTGCAAACAATGATGCAGGTAGTCAATCAGACTCAGAGCGGACTAGTTCAAGCGACAATTCGACGACATCGGAAGATTCCGGTGTCAATGACCTTTCGGAGCAAGAGGATCTGCTCGACCTCGACGAAGACGATGAAGTGAACGAGGAAACCGAGCAGGATATTACAATCCGACGAACAAACGTGCAAAGGATGCGATTTGATAAGGAAAACGTCCGAGTCTATAGCGACCAACGGATCATTCTTAAACCATCCGTTTGCATACGCGTAAAGGTCAAAATGGGACGATTCGTACCAGCTAAGGAGAAGCTGATGTTCACACCGGTCTTCCAAATAGAAAAAGACGTTCAACCGTTAGCAGGTGTGACCGATCATAGAGGAAGGTACTTTGATCTGGTCATCGCTAACCACAGTACCACCCGCAGGGAAGAGGACTCGTTGAGAGGCAGATGCAGTGGATAGGCGACGGCCTATCCATGCTAGCAGGCAGAGCAAACGAAAAGAGATGGGATGAATTTCTCCCATTTCTTGTGGCAGCATATAATCGCACAGTGCAGAAGACAATTCATCATTCGCCATTTTATATGCTGTATGCCAGAGAACAGTCACTTCCAGGTGACACAATCACGCAGACAAATTTGCCAGAGGATTATGACAACATCGACGATTACTTGGAGAAATTCAAGTATCGTTTAAATGTTGCTCATGACGCAGCCAGAGCGTATATCGATGATGATTTTAAAAAGAAAGTTGAGGCATATAACCAGAAAAGTCTAAGCCAGATTTTACCGTAGGCAGTTTGGTTAATTTGCGCCAGGAACAGAAGAAAGGTGAATCAAAGGACCTTCGTTTTAAATACGACGGCCCTTTTGAAGTTGTTAAATTTCCATCAGAGAATCAAGTCGCCATTATCCGCAGAGATTTTCCCTACGACTCAGATGTTGTAGCCATTGACCGTTTGAAATCTTATACGCCAGAGGATCCCGAGTTTAGTACGCCAATTAAAACTCGCATTATACTCAGCGATATTGATAACACCAAGCAGATTAAGCCATTAACAAAAGCGAAATTAGCCAAAAATCAGAGACCGATATCAGAGAATAAACCGTCAACTGGACTTTTAAAAATGAAGTTAAAAGTGCCGAAAAAGCCAAAAAATATCAGCGAAGATAAAGTGTTACCGGATAGTACTGTAATTCAGCCAGTCAGCGACTCAAGTACTGATTCGGGCATTACTGCTCAAACCGGTACGAGCTCAGAGGATAGGCCAGCTAGTGGGGAACCTTCCCCTCCGCCAGAAAATAAAGCCAGAAAATCTGTAAAACGTAAATCGAAGAAAGCCAGTGTAGAGACAGATACATCAGAATCGTCCAGTGATTCTGATGGTAGTTGGACAATAACAGCAAATAGTAAAGGCAAAGTTAAAATCAAACGGCATCGTCAGACGCCGAATGATTTGTTAACCCAACCTCTTGAATCAGAGACAGACGCAGAAGACGCAGATCTTGTGGAAAAACTTACACGCCAGAAACGTCGTAAACCGCGATTCCCAGCCAGTTAATAATGTTTTCATAACTTTATTGCCAGAGAAACACTGGTATGGGGTACATATTAGGTCATCTTAATATTTTATTCAGTGTTCACTGAACTTAAGCAGTTTGCCAGTGAGCTTCGCAGAGTGAACTCCATAAATCAATGCATTGCATGGTACAGTGAATCGGTAGAATTGTGTCAGTATTAATCAGCACCGCATTGCATGGCACAACATCGTGTTGTGTTGTATAATTTTGTCTATTATCAGAGATCATAAGAGATGTACTGTACGACATTGCATTGCTGGTTAGCCAGTTATCAGTGAAATACGCATCACGCATTGCATTGGTAGCAGCGAAAAATCAGAGAATTATCAGAGAATTAATATCACATTACATGCATTGCGTGGTAGCATTATTTTAAAATCAGAGAAATATCAGAGAATTACACTGGATATTAGCGCAGTGTACGGCGTAGTACATATCGTATTGCACCGTACTTCGCAGTGATTATCAGAGAATTTAATCAGATTCCGCGTTTTAGGAATTCTGCTTAAATTATTATCAGAGAAAAAATAGCTAAATTAATTGTTAATTTAGTTATTAGGCCATTTTTCGCAGCAATGGAATCATCGCCTTTAATCAGTGTTAATTGTTGCCATTTTTCCTTGCAGATGGCTTATGCCAAGTATTACGATAGCCAGTGCAGCGGATGTTATCAGAATACTCTTCGTCGCCCATGCGCAGAATGTCTTCTGACAGCGATTGAAGACACAGATGGCCAGGTTTTCGCACTCGTATCAGAGGTTGTTCTTGGAAATCTCAACGCATACGAGCGATTACGCCAGAGAGATTTGTGGCAGTATGTGGAGCGCAATCCCAGTTATCATCAGCGAGTCTACAGCGCAGTTGTCCAGCATATCAAGCAGATTACGTTGTGGAATCATGAGACTCCACCTCCAGAACCGCGCCAAATGGATGAGCGTCGTCCACCTCAGCCAGTGACAGCTCATCGAGATCAGCGAACCGGCAGCGCCCCATTATTGCCACGTCCAGTTCAGCAGCAGCAGTCGCAGACGCGTTACGCGGATGTGACACGGGATCAGCGCAGTGATTCTCGCCAGTCAAGCAGCAGTCAGCCAGAGCAGCGCCAGAGAGGAGGACCAAGGATTAGTTATAATCCTTTTAGTGGTCCACAGTTTGAGCTACAGATGGTAAGAACTTACAGTGAATCAGCCAGTATTGCATCAGTGTCAGATGATTGTTCAATCCCGTCACAGACATCAGAGAAGAAGCCAGATCCGAAGGAAGTTATGCCAGAGTTGGATTCAGTGGAAAATCATGTGAAAATGATTATGAAGCATATGGACTTGAGTAATCAGAGACGCTCCGCAGAATATCATGCAGCGATTACACTTGTGGTTCAGGACTTCCACGAGTTTGAACGCGAACTGGATTTATACGCAGCGATGAGAAATTCCCACTGGAAGACAGAGCAGCCTTACGGCAGAGAACTGTTTTATGCATACGCAGATATCCGGCAGAATGGACTCGCAGGTTATCTGGGTTTGAATGAACTCAGTGACCCGATCAGTAAAGTTGATTACGAGAAGTTGTCGCAGTTCATGTATCATGGGAAAACGTATTATTTGGATATCTTGTATCAGTGGATCAGTCCGTTCGCCAATCCCGCAATGTTTTTGGTTGGATGTAAGGCAGCTTCACACTGCCTCCGCATCTGGAAAATCGCCAGAGAACTTCCAGAGATGCAATGGGAAGACCCGGATAAATTCAAGGAAATTCGTACCTTTTTTGGTCGAATGTTGGCAGCGTTGTTAGGCCAGTGGAACAGCAATCGTTTCGTATATGATCGCAAAGAGCCAGCTCGTATGGTGCGTCATTTCCGTGGAATTGGCACGCCACTGAATGAAATTGATCAGAAACGGTTGTATAACGCAGCGATAGCCAGAGAAGAGAAATTAGCCAGGGAAATTCCGAAACCATTCGTTCGGAATCCATTTGACGCTATCGGTGAACATCAGAAGAACTTGGATCGCAACTTTAAAAAGCGAGGGATCACGGAGATTTCCTCTAGCCAGGGTGATGGTCAGCGCAGTGTTGCACCGTCACCTACCAGCCCGGATCAGCCACCGCCAAAGAAAGTCGCAGAGAAGGCGCCAGATACTTCCAAGAAGAAAGTTACGTTGGAACTCACCTTGGCAACGGCAGCGATGCAGAACACTACTCTTGCTGAGAGTAATGTTATCAGTGACGCAGATAAGATGGATACATCTATCCCGGCAGCGGCAGAATCAGAGAAAACGGATGAATCAACCGGCAAACCAGTGGAATCAGAGAAACCACCAGCGGAACCGGTTGAATCAGAGAAGCCAGCAGGTAAAACTGACACAGACATTATCAGTGATACAGCCAGTAAAGTTATCGAAATGCACTCTGACGAAAGTGTGGACGGCATTCCAGATGCAAACTGAGGGGAATGTATCAGTGATTTGCCATTCATACTTGCCAGAGATGCATCAGTGCATTTATCAGTAAAATTCGGAAACTCCACGGGCAGATACGGCTCGTGCGAGTTGGATTGGATACTCCTTGGGCAGATACGGCCCTTGTGAGTCGGATTTGGAATGTCCCGCTTGGACTGGATGGATTGTACCCGCCAGCGGAGTTCCGGTATTTTTCTTTTGTTTCTCATAACTGACCAAATTCCTGTTTTTGATTAATGATTAATTAGCGTTCTTTCATTTCGATGGAATTTTATTTTTGGTAAATTAACTTTAAGGCCATAAGCCAAATTTTATTCGCCATTACGGCCATGATGTCTTTTAACTGTTTTCATTGTAAGACACAGAGTGCCAGAGATATCGCAGTAAAGCATTACCGTTATCAGAGCACATATTCATTTCATTTAGCCAATTATGTAGCCAATCTTTATTACTCGGTCAGTGATAGCACAACTACTTAAACGCAGAAAATGGCGCAGAGAAGTTGAAAATTCAGCCTCTTTTGACTGGACAGTGTCGAATACTTCGAGGATCGTCGGTTTCGTCTAGGCAGTGTCAATCGGTGCAGCCAGCTTGAGCAGGCATGATCAGCTCCATTGATCGCGACAGAGTGAGATCACACACGATGTGAGGTGTAGCCAACCAAGTGGACAAGCCAAGACGTTGACTCGTTGCAGGCATCGGCTGGTGCTTGTTGCGACGTAGCGTCGACCGTCCCCGCGGCGATACTCACGGGCTGTTTCAGGTCTCCGGGAGATGTTCCGTGATTTCGGGTGAAGTCATGTCGGTTCAGGGGAAGTTGTGTTTGTTGGCATTGCTTATTCGGGGCTTCCGGGCCTCGGGGGACCTCGGCACCCCACCCAGTGGCATGAGAGAGACTTCGTGGAGGTGGTCAGGCTATAGACGTCTCGTACCGCCTTGCGGAGGATCGCCCAGTGATACGTGTTTTGTATGTATTTGCCAGTGTATGCAGCCATATTGCAGGTATATTCAGCAGTGGATGTACGAGTGCTTACCGAGTGCACACGTACATCCGGTTCAGAGCCAGCGTATCAGCGTATCAGCAGTATGCAAATTATCAACGGATAATTTGCTCAGTTCGCGGTGTGTTTTATGTCAGCTTGTCAGCCACATCTCTGTGTCATAGTATGAGCGATGTTATAGTGATTTTTGGTGATTTTTGGTGTTGGGAAGAGTAAAAGAGGATTTTATGTCTTCCTGTTGTGTTCTCGTCCCGTATTTCCGGTAGATATAGCTGCAGGCACCTCACGTAGATCTCGGCCTGCATTGCACTGCTAGCAGTCTAGCTGTATACCTGCGGAGTTGGTGTTGATCAAAGACGTCCAAGTAGCAAAACACCACAACACGCAGTTCCATGCATAAGCTTTCCAAAAGTATTTCACCCGGGTCATTCAAGCCTGCTAAGAAATTGGTTGGGGGAAAGCTATTTACATAGTTTTGATTTTTAACCATCGCGCTTAACGGACACGACCCACGACATTCTCCGTCCTGATGTTCATGTATGAAATAAAACATTTTCCGAGTATCTGGACAAAATTTGATGTCAAACCATTCCTCTCTAAATTTGAACGGAGCTACGGCACCCGGAATGCATGTCCCGCCCGATTGGGCAGCATAGCGATCAAAATGCGGCGTCAGAAACTCAAACCGAGCCAAATAAAAAAAATGTGTTATTTAGTTGTTAAAACCTGTTTGCCATATTTAGTTAGTAATTCTTACCTTTTAGCAATTTCGGCGGCTTCTGGAAATATCGCCTCGAAGCAATCAGCAGCCCGAACAACAGTTCGGACAGTGTCTCTCTGTATTCGTTCACCACCACAAATTTCCTCAAGTAATACAGCGATATGATCGTCCGTCACACCAGGAAACATAATAACCTGAGTTACTTTCAAAAACACGCTTGGAAACCCGCGGCGTCGCTCGTGCTAACTGGAAAACCTGCAAAACGTCCATAGAATGTGATCGAATAGTGGAGGGGAACTGCTGCGTTACGGAAACACTGCTGTGTGACGGGGGGCCCAAGTTCCCCCCTGCCACGAATCCTCTTGAGCCCGGCACCATATCCATCTAGCACAAGAAAAAACTGGACGCGGTCATCCGGCAGGTATATATTTACGTAAACCAAAACAAATTTGGAAGTTATTCTGCCCCTGACTATCTCTGCGGGATACCGGCTCCGGCTGGTTCTCTTTCACGCTAACCTGAACGTTGATCTCTTCGGGGAAATCATCTGGTTGGATTGCAACGTATTGGCAGAACGGCTACTAAGCGAAGTTGGTTGATGTGTACTATCCATTCCTCCTGCATCGAACCAACTCGCACGATGCACTGATCGTTGTCAATTCCGCAGATGTACCCGCGATACTCCAACCAAGCGGATCTCGGCAAATTTGCGGTAACAAAAGGCTATTCATAGTGGCTTTTCAGTAGAAGAACTTGGTTAAATGTCTGTGGTTATGAGCGGTTTACAAAGGCATACGATGCAGAAGCATAGTGGCAAGCAAGCAAGTGTATTACGTACTCTAGTGTTCACTGGGTGAAGTTAAGTATTATGAGATTAGCGTGTCCAATCGATACGTGGCGGGCAGTGTCGTGGCTGCGTGGTGTAAAGCGGGTGGCTAATGTCTCCAAAGCCAAGATTTTGATTATAGCGAATAGGGAACATCTATATACTGCACTGTATGATTACGTACTGTGGTGTACAATAATTATAGGGTACAAATATGCACGATGGACATGGTTATAGGCTTATAGCCGTTGATATTGTAGCTAGGAGTGCACTATATCTCTACAACGCTGATTCAGGAAGGAGTATCCCGTGGTCATGCATACTGGACTGCTATATTATTATTATGTCGCACAATGCGGTTTATCGATTGTCGACTATTTTAGCTGACATACTGTACTTGAAAGTTGAAACAGCGCGCAGGTGGTACGTATACGCAACACATGACCTTGTGCAAGTTCAACCCATAAGGAAATGTGTTGTTCCACACAAAGTACAGGAAACTAACAACACATTTATCTAAACTTCATATCATAGCAGGACCTTCGCTTGTAACACTTTCGATTTTTTGAGAAGTAAGCGTACGAGTAGGTTTTGTAGAAGTACCGTGACAAAAGAAAGTTCTAGAATCGTGAACGCTAGTTACGTTTTCAGATGAGGTCGTAATCGTTTTTTAGTGATACTTAGCAGTTAGCACACAAAAATCTTCCTCTTTGACCTGCATCTACTCTCGGCCAAGATAAAACTTGACGCACGGGAAAATCATACGGAGCTTAATTCAAAACCCTAGCCGGAAACATAAACAGATTACGCGGGAAAAGGAAATGTTACGCTACGTACTACGAACACTCACTGAATCTGACAGGAATATGCTCGAAAATTTCCTTTCAAATGCGTTAGCATAGTTGTTCCAGGTATAATTTAAAGTAACCGCGCAGGACAGATTAAAATCCGTAACTTGGAGAATTCGGAACGAAGCATTTAACGGAAAGGTTTGCTGTGATGGATTAGCGGTATGCCGTCCACAGAAAGTTACGGATGTTTCACAGTTAGCGCCATTACACTGCCGTGCAAGCTTATTATAAGATTTGTTAGGTAAGAAGTAATAAACCGCCATCAGGCTAACGACGCCTGACAGGAAAAGAGACAATACAAAGCGAATGCGGGTGTCAAGCATTTGGTGAATCCTGACTAAAAGTCCCCATTGCCGGAATGAACCATGTATCACAATGTTTGAGTCGGTCTGACTGAAACAAGTGATCGGTTAAAAACTATTCGCTTGTTTGCAGTACCTTGTGCTTGTACGATCATTATGAAGCGATAGTGAATGCGCATCGATCACGCAAAGCCGGCATGATTCCAACATGAACCATCGAGATTGTCGCCGACTGCAATGCAGTGCTTGATATGTCAAGTGCAGCTGCCCGTACAATCGCTCGGCTGGGCACCTATGGTAATATCACAGTGGATTCAGGAAGAATCCAGGACAGTAGCCCAGACTGACAGGACTCTGTGGAGTGTATAACGTTACGTACTATGGGATAAAAGCACAACGCTCGCCATCCAGTATACGTAATACACTTTTATTAGCAGTTTCGATCGTGAACCAAAACACACTCAAAACACACCGATATTCAATACGCTCAGAGAGCCAAATTCTACCCGCTCTCAACAATACAAACTGCACGGCGCATAGTGAACATCATGAACAGCTGCCGTCACCCAATCAGAAGAGAGACACGCCACAGACGGTAATTCCGTGGGGAAATCCCCAGTGCGTAGTGCAACGAAGCACTCGGGAACCCGCCTAGCGTCACGTAGGTGGACGCAGGGTAGCCATCGCCTCAGATGCCTCTGGGAGGGATGCCGAGGTCCCTCGAGGCTGGTCCATCCGTCCAATTTCATTGTTGGCCGGTGTCTTTGCGCGCTCGTAAAAAGAACATCAGAATCTCTAATCCATTTATCACATATTCCAATTATACAATGTGAATAAAGAGATCTGTATCAAAATACTATTCCATATCAATTCTAATACAAAATAGATCAACAGTTAAAACAGATCAACAGAAGTTAATCAAAAATCCGTATACTAGGATCCTCCACTCATAAAGGTTACGGGTATCCTGTCCACCGTTAGGAACTTTTTTGATCCAATTCCGCTCCGCTTGAGCATCATGCGCATCCAGTGCGACTTTTCATCACATCGGCTTTATAGAATGTTTGCGTATCAAGTACGACTTAGGATTAGGTGCGTACGACTTTATAATGAGATCCATATAAGGTCATGGAGGGACGTCTTTTAGACAAGCGTTTTTCCGCTTCTCCCTAGTAAAATCATTTTGACATGGATGTGCGACGTCGTTGATCAGTTTCGTTTCATTTGTCCATCAAAGGTCATGGAGGAACTTAGCCGTTTTTCGTCGACTTTCAAGCATTTTAGCTTGCCTCCCTGGTAAAGGTCATCTCGTCGCACAATCCATGTTAGCCTTTTTCAGAGAGCCGGCTAGATTCACCGTAGCTACTCCGTTTAAGAGATCCGGCTAACTACCGTCGATTCTCTTCGCTTAAAGTTGGCAGTGGATCGATGAACTGGGAGAGCCGACTCAAAGCCGTAGCAACTCCTTTTAAGTCATTTTCAATGGCCCATCGTCTCACTTGATCCTTCTCCGTCGCCATCTCTTCGAGGCGGTCGTTTCCGGTACGAACGACGCTGATTCCTGTCGGAAGTTCGATCA